AAAATTCTCACACAGAAAAACATTAAACATAAATATATAAAATATAAGTATTAACAGAGAGACAGGAATAAAAAGGACCCAGCTGCTCTCCAGAGCAGGAACAAGGCTGAGGAGGAAATGCTCCATTGGAGATTGGTGTGGCCTCTTCAGGGACTCCAGGATGGCCAGCTCCACCGCCGATGGACCGTCCTGGGACCCGTCCCTCATCTGCCTCGGAGCTGTCCTCCTCTGTGGGCCTGTAAAACAGCACAAAACACAAAGAAATGAGAAGACTGCTACTAGATTTTAATTTCAACATCAAAAAAAACCAAACAGGATATATAAACAATAAAATATATTCCTAAATGACAACATGCATAAAAGCAGAACGGTACGTCAGTGGGAAAATAGCGGTGGCTTGCTAGCTTTTGTGCGGCTTCCCCGGGTCAGTGAAAACTTTCAAAAGAGAAATGAATGAACTTACCAGGTTGCCCGATCTCTTCACATATCTTCCTCCAAGCTCGGTCCTTTTTATTCCTGTCTCAGTACAGAAAGCAGCTGGTGTCGTACAGCTCCGGGTTGTTTGCTACGGCATTGATTAGCCTTCCTTCCATTGAAGTATGAAGGGCTGGATCTGCCCCTTTGACCTAGGTCACAGCCACATCACCAGGCTCCTGATTGGTTGTCGCAGCGCGATTTGACACTGGAGTTCAGATTTTTCCAACTCGAGCGGTAGACGCGAAACGCGCGTATGCACAAAATGCAACACAAAAACTCACGTGTGTGGTTTTATTTGCGAGTCAAACGCGCCAGACGTGCTACACTGATGCGCACTTCATGCGTTTTCGCATTTTCGCGACGAAATCTGCTTCCGAATTTTCGTGGGACCTGCAATCACGTGTCATTGCGCTTTTCCATTCACTTTACATGTAAACCTGACGCTCTATTCGCGTCCATCGCGTTCGGTGTGAACACACCGTTACACTGCCCTAAATAAATATCTTAGAAATATGGTGTTCAACCAAATAATCTGGATAACATTACCTTGGTGTCCAGTAATACTGTGAGGAATCAATGATTTTTTACCAGGTATGCCCTTCAATGTGTATATTACACAGGTATGTAGAACTGCATTACATTTCTGCAACTTCTCAACACTTAGAAACATCCTGTCTCAGAGGGATGATGAAAAACTAGTTCATTCATTTATTACTTCTAGGGTGGACTACTGTCAATCATTATTATCAGGTTGCCCTAAAGACTTCCTGACTCCCAGTAGATGTCTTTGACTAGACTGCAGGCTTACTTGTGGTTCCTAGAATGTTTAAAAGTAGAATGGGAAGCAGAACCTTCAGCTTTCAGGCCAATCTTCTGTGGAACTAGTTCCCAGTTTGGAGTCAGGAGACAGATACCCTCTCTACTTTCAAGATTCGGTTTAAAGCTTTCCTTTGATAAAGCATATGGTTATAGCTGGATCAGGTGACCCTGAATCCTTCTTTAGTTGTGCTGCAATTTTTATTAACTGTGTGTTTATATACCAATCTGCATTTAATCATTAGTTATTATAATTCTTGGACTCTCTTCCATACCGAGTCTTTTGTCACTATGGCTCTGCATCGGGGTCTGGATCTGCTGGAGGTTCCTTTCTTCCAACCTTTAGTGGGTGGACCGAGGTGGACACAGTTTTTAATATCCTCAGGGAAGAGGTTGTCATAGAACGAGTCGTCGTCAAACACCACTTCATAGAACTTAGCCGTGGTTAGCACCACATTTGCTCTGGTAATAATGGCCATTCTTGTATTTACAGATCAGTTTCTGACCCACTGCCAGCTCCTGCATGGCAGCTTTGCTGCGCTGAGATATGGCTGGTGCTCTGTGTCTGTGGCTAACAAGACTTTGTCTCTTTGCAAGCATCTGCACAGACAGCATGCTAACACAAAGCTCGAAGGCAAGAACCCAGAGTGATGTTAAAGCCGAGTGTATGCTGACTTCAGCCTAGCAGCCAGAGCCTGATCTTGAGCAGGTAACAAAGGCAGTGATAAGCAGTCAAGCCTTTTATCACCTTTTACCTATTCATGTTCCTAAAGCAGAATCACTGCAGTGATTGCTTTGAAGTCTCTTTGGGCTGTTTTTCCAACTTTGCTTTGATTTGTTAGTTTTATATTCAAACATAAACAACAAAACAAAGGCTGTATGTGTGTTCTCAATATGAGAGGAATTTGTGCTGTTGTGAATGGTAAATGGACGGATTCTTATATAGTGCTTTTCTAATCTCCTGGAGTACTCAAAGCGCTGTATACAACATGCCGCATTCACCCATACACACCCACTCACACAAGCACTCTATGCTTTGTCAGTACTTTCTAACTAATATACACTCATACGCATTCATACTCAGATGGATGCTTTGGAGAGCAAGTGGGGGTTAGTATCTTGCCCATGGATATTTGGTATGCAGACTGGGGGAGCCAGGAATCGTTCGACCTGCTCTACCTCCTGAGCTACATTACCTACAGGGTGGGCCATTTATATGGATACACCGTAATAAAATGGGAATGGTTGGCGATATTAAAGTTCTGTTTGTGGCACATTAGTATATGTGAGGGGGCAAACTCCTCAAGATCGGTGTTGACCATGGTGGCCATTTAGAAGTCGGCCATCTTGGATAGAACTTTTGTTTTTTCAATAGGAAGAGGGCCATGTGACACATCAAACTTATTGGTAATGTCACAAGAAAAACAATGGTGTGCTTGGTTTCATCCATCCATTCATTCACTTCCGCTTATCCTTTTCAGGGTTGCGGGGGGCGCTGGAGCCTATCCCAGCTGTCATAGGGCGAGAGGCAGGAGTACACTCTGGACAGGTCGCATTCACTCGCACATTCACACCTAGTGGCAATTTGGATTATCCAATTAACCTATCCTCACAAGTTGCATATCTTTGGACGGTGGGAGGAAGCCGGAGTACCCGGAGGGAACCCACGCAAACACGGGTAGAACATGCAAACTCCACACAGAAAGACCCCGGCCTGATGGTGGAATTGAACTCAGGACCTTCTTGCTGTGCGGCAACAGTGCTAACCACGGTACCACCGTGCTGCTTGGTTTCAACGTAACTTTATTCTTTCATGAGTTATTTACAAGTAACTTTGTTCACAGCCATTGACATGTTGAAGAGGTTAACACGTGAGGAGCGGATCAAAATTGTGTTGATATCTGGTAAACGCAGTAATCGGGTCATTGCAGCAAGACAATGCAATACACCCTATGAGACCACCCATCTCCCATGCTACAGTTAGTAAACTGCTTGCTAAGTTTCGTGAAACTGGTTCAGTGTCGGATTTGCCAAAATGTGGATGCAAGAAAACTGTCACTAATGAAGAAACATCAGTGGCTGTCCTAGTTTCATTCAGCAAGAGCCCACAGCCTAGCACTCGCCGCATGTCACTGGAGAGTGGCATTAGTCAAACATCCCTTTGGTGGATATTAGCTACTCACAAATGGCACCCTTACAAACTCCAGCTACTGCAGCATCTCAACGAGGATGACCAGATCGGTGCACAGAATTTACAGAATGGGCAAAACAAAAATTGGAACAGGACCCTCAGTTTACGCAGAAGATTTTGTTCAGTGATGAGGCAAACTTTTATGTGAATGGTGAAGTTAACAAACAAAACCACTGCTATTGGTCTGACACTAACCCACATTGGATGGATCCCTCCAAGACTGTTGGACCAACAAAAGTGATGGTTTGGTGTAGTATATGGGGTACAACGATAGTGGGTCCATTCTTCATCAATGAAAACCTCAAGGCCACTGGATATTTGAAATTGCTACATGATGATGTGTTTCCCTCTTTATGCACTGAAGCTGGCACGTTCCCTGATTTTTTCCAGCAAGATGGTGCACCACCACATTATGGGTGCCAGGGCCGAGCATTCCTAGATGAACAGTTTCCTGGAAAGTGGATTGGTCTTTGTGGGCCAGTTGAATGCCCCCCAAGGTCTCCCAATCTGACCCCCTTAGACTTTTATCTTTGGGGTCATCTGAAGGCAATTGTCTATGGTGTGAAGATACGAGATGTGCAGCACCTGAAACTACGGATACTGGATGCCTGTGCTGGCATTTCTCCTGCGGTGTTGCTATCAGTGTGTGAAGAGTGGGAGAAGAGGGTTGCATTGAGAATCCAACACAATGCGCAGCACATTGAACACATTTTATAAGTGGTCAGAAACTTGTAAATAACTCATAAAAGAATAAAGTTACGTTGAAACCAAGCACACCATTGTTTTTCTTGTGACATTACCAATAAGTTTGATGTGTCACATGGCCCTCTTCCTATTGAAAAAACAAAAGTTCTATCCAAGATGGCCGACTTCTAAATGGCCACCATGGTCACCACCCATCTTGAGGAGTTTGCCCCCTCACATATGTGCCACAAACAGGACTTTAATATCACCAACCATTCCCATTTTATTATGGTGTATCCATATAAATGGGCCACCCTGTACATTACCATGAAATGGTAATTATGTTTCAGTGCATTTCAGGTCATTTTAGTGAATAATACCAAAGTAATAGTGTAAAGACTTATCCTGTTCTTCTTAATTAATAATGGTTTAATTTACCATCCTTGCATAGTGAGTTTCAGTTTCTTTTTTCTGGGCAAAGGTTTCTGATTCCAAAATGTAAAACAACAAGGTTTAACAAAAAGGAACAGATAAAGGAACCTGAAGCGGAACCTTTGTTTTGAGAGCAGACTTTATAAATTAACAGCATTTCAAATTAGTTCATGAAGAGAGGGTATCTTCATGGAAGTTCAAACTTTATGCTAATGACTTTTAAATATGAGGTTATGGTTAGCATCCCATTGCAACTATAAATTTTGGCAATTTGTTTGTAATTCTCAGTTGTCCTGTGAATATTCTGCATTAATACATGTTCACAAAAACATGATGACTAAAGTCTTCCTAAATGCTCTAAATACCTTCGTATTTACCTTGTGCTTATTCAGGCAGCCGGATGGATGAATCGTCAGATGTGGAATCAGAGCCTGACCTTCCACTGAAGAGGAAACAGCGTAGGAGTCGGACTACTTTCACAGCGGAGCAGCTGGAGGAGCTGGAGAAGGCTTTTGAAAGAACACATTATCCTGATATTTACACTAGAGAGGAGCTGGCCCAGAGAACAAAACTTACTGAGGCCAGGGTCCAGGTAATGCATTAGTATTCAACTATCCATTAATCCATAGATCTCTCCAGCCACGCGACATCTGTCTATTTTTCATTCAAATCAAATCAAATCAAATCAAATCACTTTTATTGTCACATCACATGTGCAGGTACATTGGTACAGCACATGTGAGTGAAATTCTTGTGTGCGAGCTTCACAAGCAACAGAGTTGTGCAAATACAATAATGTAAACAAGCAAAATACAAGAATGGCTACATCTGAAACTAATAAATATAATAGTATATGCATTTCTGGATGTGTATACTAAATATTTTTCTACGTGTGTGTGTGTGTGTGTGTGTGTGTGTACACATATTTTACAAATTAAATAGAGTAAACAATAAATAAAATATATAAAATAAAATATACAGAGTGAGACATGTGCAAAACAGTGGCGTTACTGTACAGTGTGGAGTGCATAATGTTAAAGTTCCAGTAGTGAAACTGAGGTGTCTATGAAGTGTTCAGCAGTCTGATGGCCTGATGGAAAAAGCTGTCTCTCAGTCTGCTGGTACGGGACCGGATGCTGCAGAACCTCCTTCCTGATGGAAGTAGTCTGAACAGTTTATGGCTGGGGTGACTGGAGTCCTTGATGATCCTCCCCGCTTTCCTCAGGCACCGCTTCCTGTAGATGTCTTGGAGGGAGGGAAGCTCACCTCCAATTATCCGTTCAGAGCACCGCACTACTCGCTGGAGAGCTTTGCAGTTGTAGGCGGTGCTGTTGCCATACCAGGTGGTGATGCATCCAGTGAGGATGCTCTCAATGGCACAGTGATAGAAGGTCCTGAGGATGCGGGGGCTCATGCCGAATCTTTTCAGTCTCCTGAGAAAGAAGAGGCGCTGCTGCGCCTTCTTCACTGTTTTGTTTGTGTGTACTGACCACGTAAGATCCTCAGCCAGATGTACACCAAGGAACCGGAAGCTGCTCACTCTCTCCACAGCAGCGCCGTTGATGGTGATGGGGGTGTGTACTTCTCTGCACCTCCGGAAGTCCACTATCAACTCCTTTGTCTTTGCGACGTTGAGGGTGAGATGGTTGTCTTGACACCAGTGGGTCAGGGCGCTGACCTCCTCCCTGTAAGCTGTCTCATCACTGTTGGTGATAAGACCCACCACTGTAGTGTCGTCCGCAAACTTCACAATGATGTTGGAGTTGTTAGTGGCCGTGCAGTTGTAGGTGTAGAGTGAGTACAGGAGAGGGCTCAGTACACACCCCTGTGGAGCACCAGTGTTCAGTGTGACGGGGGATGAGGTGATGCTGCCCAGTCTGACCACTTGGCGTCTGTCAGACAGGAAGCTAAGGATCCAGCTGCAGAGGGAGCTGCTCAGTCCTAGATCCTGCAGTTTCCTGTCCAGCTTCGAGGGAACGATGGTATTGAATGCTGAGCTGTAATCTACAAACAGCATTCTCACATACGTGTCTCTCTTCTCCAGGTGTGACAGGGCAGTATGTAGTGTCAGGGCTATGGCATCATCAGTGGACCTGTTGTGGCGGTATGCGAACTGTAGAGGGTCCAGTGAGTCGGGTAGTGCAGAGCAGATGAAGTCCCTGACCAGCTTCTCGAAGCATTTGCTTACGATGGGGGTCAGGGCTACAGGTCGCCAGTCGTTCAGTGAGGAGATGGTGGAGGATTTGGGTACAGGGACGATGGTGGCCATTTTGAAGTAGGCTGGGACTACAGACAGAGAGAGGGAAAGGTTGAAGATGTGCGTGAACACTCCGGCCAGCTGAGCCGCGCATGACTTGAGGACGCGGCCGGGAATCCCGTCCGGACCAGTAGCTTTGTGTGCGTTCACCTTCCTGAAGCACCTCCGCACATCCTCCTCAGACACAGTGTGCGCATTGACGTCATCCGCGGTGCGCACACTGTCCGGTCTCATGGTGTTCGCTGTGTCGAATCTAGCGTAGAATACGTTTAGATCCTCACACAGAGAGGCCCGTGGTCTGCGGTGTGCTGGTTTTCCCTCTAAAGTCCATCCTTGATCTCTTTTTTTTTTAAACATTAAACCCACAAACAAAGACACTCTTACTCATTTCAAATGTTGAAACTCACTACTTGAACTGAGGGACTGATAGAGAGCATCTCTATAAGAACATGAATAATGTTTTTTATTGAGAACATGTGTGTCGTCGAACACAATGCTGCAACATTCTCAGTAGATTAATTAGTAAAATATTTGCTTTTTTAAAATCACACAGACTGGTTAGAACCTTTACTGCTGACTATGCAGCATTCTACTATATTCTACTAACTTGCTGTACTATTCAGAAGTCTTGAGCCATCACTTGTTTCTTTATATTTTGCTTTTAATGAGCAAGACTGTCCAGTCATTTTTAAAAATGAGCAAAGGTTTTTCAGGTTTCTGGAAACCTTCCAAAGTTTTTTTTTTTTTTTAATTCTCTTTAACTAATTTTTCCTATTCCATTGAACATATTCAGATGTGTTTTGCATGCTAACTCTGACCTATGTGTCATTCAAACATAAAAAGGCACCTAACTCAAAGGATGAACCAGTGTTGTGTCTGTCGGGTTTGCCAAATGGCACAGTAACAGAACCCAGTCACAAGACTTCCTGAACAGTTACAGTAAGGTTATTTACAGTGAAAAAACAAGGTGCAAAACAGTTCCAACAAAATGTGATTTTCTCAGTGGTGGGGCAATTTCTCCCAAACACACTCTCCACAGTTCTTTCCGAAATATTTACAAAAACCTTGGTGCTCTCTCCAAAACTCTCCATGGCTTAGTTTCCTTCACTAAGAGAAACACAACAAGATCACTTCTTTGGATGAGCCAGGGTTCAACTAACTATTGTCACTCAATGATGCAGTGTTGATTGAAGCTCAACCGCTCTACTAAATAGTGCCCTTTGACGGGAACATCAGCGGCATATGTATGATTGCCAGCAAGTGTATGTGGCTCAAGAGTGGGAACTTCTTCAAGGTCCCAATGCTGCAAAAAGAAAAGAACACCACACACACACACAGAGGAGGGCGAGAAAGAGGGCTTGAGGTGGAGGGAACCCCACCCCCGAAATGGCAGGTCAGGCCAGCAAAGACAGAGGGACCTCATGGCCCCTCTGTCTTTGTTGGCCAGTGTCAATACATAACAGACAACTTAACAAAGACCGAATTTTAAAATGTTCTAAGGAATATGATGATGAAATAAAAACAATGAACAAACTAAGTAGCTTGTTACAAAAATACATTATTTTCTTTCATATCATTGTGTTAATGATAACACAGGTTGGCAGGTGTAAAATTGTATTTTTGCACCAAGAAGGTTATGATTAAAGATCGGTTTGCTCACCAGCTTGCTTTGGAGTGAATCCTTAAAAAATGAGGAAACTGGACAACTAGAGTACAAAAAATAGGACGTCTTAAAAGGAATCTAAAGTAGATGAAAGATATAAGAAATGTCCATAACAGGATAAAATGACCTGACACAGGACCTGAGAGACAGTTCTGGTCCTTCAGTTGATTCATCTATTGCTCAACAAAGGTGATGGTCAAGAAGCCATTTATAAGGAAGGGAAAGTGGGAGAGAATGTTCTGGTATGCCACATTAAAGAAGAACTACTGGCTGCATTTCAATTATGAATGCAGAAAAGTACTGTCAGATTTTGACCCCGATGCAAAGTTTCTAATTGGCATGGCTGCCAAAAACAGTTCAAGCTGTGATGAACAATAAAGTTGGTCATAGAAATACTGACTTTTAATCTCATGAGAATTGTACAAACTCTGTACTTTCAAGTATGTTTGTTTTCAGTACATCACTGTACGTTTCCCATATTCTTAGCAAAATATAACAAAATGAGGTGTGAGACTTTTTCACAGTGTTTTATATATTTGTTCAGTGTGCAAGACTAACTCTCTCTAACTTCTGGAGACTCTGCCAGCTGTTCACATCTCCACTAAGGAAACTGGCTTTGGTCTCTGTTTGACAGCTTCACAGTGCCTCAGTTGTGTTTTGGAAAATATTGTAGAGTTCTAACAACAGCTGTAAGTTTTCAGCAGTAGGGTGGGTGCTGCATTCCTCTTGCATGTCTCACTCCCAGATTCTTGGCTGGAATTTGTTTTTCCCACCAGTTTAGAGTCTACCACTCATTGTAAAAATCAGAGCAGATCATGGAAGTCTTCGCTCTCAGGGGAACTTTAAGCCATAACTGCAAAGTGGCTCAATCAAGTCACAGAAAACTGAGACAATGAGAAACCAGCGTGGCATGGAAACTCCTCCATGCCTGCCACTTAGGTCATAAATGCCGACCTCAGAATTATCTGTATGCCTCGACTTGACAATGGTCATTTTACGTCCATCCTACTCACAGAATAAGTTACTGGAGTACAAATTAAAAAAAAAAAATCCAACTCAATGCCCACCTTCTAACTTGCTTTGAAGCTAACTATTTCTCATTCATGTTGACAAAATTTGTAACTTTGGATTATGGCACAGTTAAGTAGGCCTAGTTATAACTTTACACTACATTTGAATACTATTTCTGTGTCCTTAAGCTGAGGCCATGGAAGGTTTCAAAAAATATATTAATATTAAATACTGTATGGTAGAGATGTAGTGATGGGAAACAGAGAACTGCAAAGACTGTAACTAAAAAATATTTGTGGTGTGTCAAATCAAATCATTGTTTCAGTACTACTTAATGTATAAACATGGAGAAACAAAAAATAAAACCAGTTATAGTCAGCTTGAATGATTGTCACTGAAATTACTGATTTTGCATGGCTGCAATTAGCAACCCATTTTATTCTAAAAACATCTATTATAGTTGGTCAGAATCATTGGAAATGAACGGGGTTGTGCCTATGGAATCCATGACACACCTACGTTTCTAGTACTGGTCCTTTTATGTGGACTTTGTAAGAAATTACACAGTGATTCCACTTCAGAATAGGACCACCCTCATTACAGACCAATCGGGTGCCTGCTTCTTTAACTCTTTTCAGTGTACAAACTACCATGTAATCAGTAGCTGGAAGACAAGTAAAGACAGACATACAGTGGGGCAAAAAAGTATTTAGTCAGCCACCGATTGTGCAAGTTCCCCCACCTAAAATGATGACAGAGGTCAGTAATTTGCACCAGAGGTACACTTCAACTGTGAGAGACAGAATGTGAAAAAAAAATCCATGAATTCACATGGTAGGATTTGTAAAGAATTTATTCGTAAATTAGGGTGGAAAATAAGTATTTGGTCACCTCAAACAAGGAAGATTTCTGGCTCTCACAGACCTGTAACGTCTTCTGTAAGAAGCTTTTCTGTCCCCCACTCGTTACCTGTATGAATGGCACCTGTTTGAACTCATCATCTGTATAAAAGACACCTGTCCACAGCCTCAAACAGTCAGACTCCAAACTCCGCCATGGCCAAGACCAAAGAGCTTTCGAAGGACACCAGGAAAAGTATTGTAGACCTGCACCAGACTGGGAAGAGTGAATCTACAATAGGCAACCAGCTTGGTGTGAAAAAATCAACTGTGGGAGCAATCATCAGAAAGTGGAAGACATACAAGACCACTGATAATCTCCCTCGATCTGGGGCTCCACGCAAGAGCTCATCCCGTGGGGTCAAAATGATCATGAGAACGGTGAGCAAAGATCCCAGAACCACACGGGGGGACCTGGTGAATGACCTGCAGAGAGCTGGGACCAAAGTAACAAAGGTCACCATCAGTAACACACTACAACGGCAGGGAATCAAATCCAGACGTGTTCCGCTGCTGAAGCCAGTGCATGTCCAGGCCCGTCTGAAGTTTGCCAAAGAGCACATGGATGATACAGCAGAGGATTGGGAGAATGTCATGTGGTCAGATGAAACCAAAGTAGAACTTTTTGGTATAAACTCAACTCGTCGTGTTTGGAGGAAGAAGAATACTGAGTTGCATCCCAAGAACACCATACCTACTGTGAAGCATGGGGGTGGAAACATCATGCTATGGGGCTGTTTTCCTGCCAAGGGGACAGGACGACTGATCCGTGTTAAGGACAGAATGAATGGGGCCATGTATCGTGAGATTTTGAGCCAAAACCTCCTTCCATCAGTGAGAACTTTGAAGATGAAACGAGGCTGGGTCTTCCAACATGACAATGATCCAAAACACACCGCCCGGGCAACAAAGGAGTGGCTCCGTAAGAAGCATTTGAAAGTCCTGGAGTGGCCTAGCCAGTCTCCAGACCTCAACCCCATAGAAAATCTGTGGCGGGAGTTGAAAGTCCGTGTTGCCCCAAAACATCACTGCTCTCGAGAAGATCTGCATGGAGGAATGGGCCAAAATACCAGCTACTGTGTGTGCAAACCTGGTAAAGACCTATAGTACACGTTTGACCTCTGTTATTGCCAACAAAGGTTATGTTACAAAGTATTGAGTTGTATTTTTGTTGTTGACCAAATACTTATTTTCCACCCTGATTTACGAATAAATTCTTTACAAATCCTACCATGTGAATTCATGGATTTTTTTTTCACATTCTGTCTCTCACAGTTGAAGTGTACCTCTGGTGCAAATTACTGACCTCTGTCATCATTTTAGGTGGGGGAACTTGCACAATCGGTGGCTGACTAAATACTTTTTTGCCCCACTGTAATGTCGTAAGAGACACTTATTTCTTCTGCCCTCACAGCATCTTTCCCTTTCTCCACAAACTTCAAGCCAGGAACTTTGAGGTGTTGGAGGTAACTGATTGATCACACTGACAATGAACTTTAAAAATACCCCCTTATTTAGGTATCACTGGTACACCATACTGACTCGGTATAGTTTCCCTTGGGTATAATCTGTTGCATGAGATGTGATCAGAAGCATTGTCTGTTTTCAAGTGCATCAGACAGGGGGCCTTGTGTTGCTAAGACAGGCTGACACTTTCCTCTGCAGTTGCTCTGTCTCTGCATCCACAGTGTTGTTCTTTTGGATTACTGAATCTGTGGCTGTAATTAGTTCCAAATGCGAGATTTTTTTGATTTGACATCAAAATTAAAATCATTCAAAAGGATTGCTTTCTCTGCTTGAGTTAGTTATCTGTCAGATAATTTCTTCTTCCACTTGTCCACATTCTTGGAGGGAAGCATTCATCTCTTCACCAGCTGTTGAGGTCAATTCAATTTAACTATCCATCCTTCCATTTTCTTCCACTTATCTGGGGTTGGTTGAGAGGGCAATAGCCTAAGCAGAGAAGCCCAAACCTTCCTCTCCCCAGCCGCCTTCTCCTGGGAACACCAATGCATTCCAAGGCCAGCTGATAGATTTAGTCTGTCCAGCATGTCTTAGGTCTGCCCTAGGACTTCCTCTCGGGGGCACATGCACAGGAAACTGTTCCCAGAGGCATCCTCATCAGATGCCTGAACCACCTTAACTGGGTCCTTTTGATGTGGTAGAGTAGCAGCTCTACTCTGAGCCCCCCCTGGATCGCTAATCCCTTTACCCTATCGCTAAGGGAGAAGCCATCCAATCTAAGGAGGAAGCTCATTTCCCCAGCTTGTATCTGTGATCTCATTTTTTCAGTCACTCCAGAGTCTGCAGTGACGTTCTTGGTGGGTGGTTGGAGGGTACAGAGGTCAGCAAATACAGGAGTGGAACAGGGCGCCACTGTGGAGGAGTGGTCTGCCATAGCAGGAGGAAAGGAAGCCTAGGGAGTGGATTGAGTTTTGTGGAGACTTTCCTTGGATGATGGATTTTTATCTTGTTCCACAGCGATGTTGGCGCAACTGATATGAAGTTCAGTTTTTGTTTTGAATTCCAAGGATAGCTTTGGTACATTATCCTTTAGGCTCGATTCACTAGCTGGGCCCACATCCTCATTTTAGGTTTGACAGCGTTTTAGTAGGTAAAGGCGAATGCTTGGACATGAATTGAGCTGCGGTTTAGGGAAGGCTTCGAAGGGGACTGGCGACGGCTCCCAGGCCTGGCAGATTCCCATGTACTAAATAGGAGTGAAGAAGTTAAAGAATTGAGAACAAAGAGGGAGGGAGGTTGGGGAATGAACGAGAATGAACAGTTTGCAGAACTGGGGAAAACCTATATAGATTACAACCGGAAGGAACATGTTTGGAGGTGTGGTCCCGCTCCTGAAAATAAATATTTTAATTATGGTGTGGAGCCTGACTATAGAGACACTTTCTCACTGAGGAAATCTTACAAACCAGAGGGCTCTATGGCAAGTTTTAAACTTAGTGTTTCTTGTCCCAGAGTAGATTTTCCAAATTGAGTCTTATATTTAAAGATTTATTCATTGACAATGTCAACTGAGGGATGTGATACAAAAGGACCTGACACGTAGATAGGCAATCAACCCCACCTGCTTGGACAAAATACCCCCTCAGACCCCTGTTCAAGGCATTGGTCTGCAGGATAAAAGGGAGAGAAAAGTTAGGAATGTGGAACATGGGTTCCACACACAGAGCCTTAAATATGTCTCTAAATGTGCCAGAAATATGTATCTATAAATGTACAAACATATACATTCCACATCTATGCATCCTTGCATTAGAAAGCAATCCAAAGATATCATGTTAAAATGATGATAGGTCATATTCTGTTTCCTTTCCGTCACGTCTCTTCTACAGAGGTAGTGAGACCGTATGATCTACTTCTGCGGTTTTTGCGCAAGTACCTCAAGGCAACAACGCCTGCTGTAATAATTTAAGTCTGCTCTGCAGATATAGAAGTCCAAATCAGCTTCTCTACATAAAAGTCACATTTTCGTTTGCACTAAATGAAAAAAGAAGATTCCTGGAAAAAGTGGGCAGGTAGAAAGCTGCAAGCAATGCAAAGATTTCTGCTGTGACCCTAGAGATGTGTAGGTGTTAAGTATGCCTGTGTTAAATCATGTGAGTGGTATAGTTTAATTGAAATGAAAACAAACATGCAGGACTAAATGTCAAGAAGAAACAGTGGATAATGAAAAAAAAAATTATTTACTCACAGAAACACACACTACAAACATTAATTTGCTGAAGTTTTACCTTTGAAATGATGGCATGTCCCAATATATTAATGCTTAGAGTAAGTTATATGTCCTGAATCATTTCAGATATTCGGGACAATGAAATATAGGCTTTTGAATGTGGATCTTGCCCTCTGTGTGAAATTTCACAAAAGGACTATCTGTATGTACTTTGTGGTGAGAAAAGGTAAAATTCTCTTTCAGCGGAGAATCTGTGAGACCTAGAGCATGGCATCAGAATAGAATCAATGTAAATGTGCAAATTCTTGCTGATTTTAAATTCAGCTATTCAGCTGACTCAAGAGTTGGGAGTTCGCCTTGTAATCGGAAGGTTGTCGGTTCGAGCCCCGGCTTGGACAGTCTCGATCGTTGTGTCCTTGGGCAAGACACTTGACCCGTTGCCTACTGGTGGTAGTCAGAGGGCCCGGTGGCGCCAGTGTCCGGCAGCCTCACCTCTGTCAGTGCGCCCCAGGGTGGCTGTGTTTACAATGTAGCTTGCCATCACCAGTGTGTGAATGGGTGTGTGACTGGATGTGTAAAGCGCTTTGGGGTCCTTAGGGACTAGTAAAGCGCTATACAAATACAGGCCATTTATCATTTTTGGTGTTTTCCTTCCAGCTTATTTATATATATTTCTCTTTCAAGGTGTGGTTTAGCAATCGAAGGGCCAGGTGGCGAAAACAAGCAGGAGCCAATCAACTTGCAGCATTCAATCACCTTCTGCCAGGTGGATTTCCTCCTGCAGGGATGCCAACACTTCCTACATATCAGCTGCCAGAATCCAACTACCCGACCAACACTCAAGGTAGAACAGATAATCCTTTCACTGACAGATTACAAATGTGACCTATAGGTTTTCCTAAGGAGTTCGTGGATACTATGCTATTTTGGCCATGTTCTTACCAACAAATAATGATTCATGATAGGCACTTTTACACCTATATTGCTGGGTCTTTTTTGTGTGTGTGTGTGTGTGTGTGTGTGTGTGTTTTTTTTGACTGGATGCATGGAACAATTTAATGATCAATTTAAGTTTTTCTCTGGAAGAGGTCCTGATATGCCAATAATGTCTTATCTCTAGCAGAAGAAACTGCAGTGTTGTCCTCTATCTAGTACATTAAAGCATATTGCCTCAGAATAAAAGTATTGTTTCAATTATAAGAATGACTTATTAGGTGGTTTCACAGAATAAAAAACTGATTGCAGAGAGTATGCATTCCCAATTAATGTTAGCGTGTCATCAAAGCACTCACAGAATTAGTACTGTATTGAAAAGCATTAAGAAACTGTATTGTCTACCAACGTCAATGCATATTTTGCAGTTTTAACAAAACAAAATCTCCATGCCAGGTTGTTCCTTTGCCCGTCCTCTGCCACTGCTCCAAGGTTTATGAATTTTGTTTTGGTAGATTTTGGAAAAAGCTGAAAAATTCCCAGACAGAGAGAGAGGTGTGATACAACCTGCTGTTGGAAATATTTGTAATTGTAACTATCAAAATGTCAGTCAGGTTTAACCCAGTTTTCCCTGTTGTGTTTAGTTGTAAAGACATCCTAAAGTAGATACAGAAGCCTCCAATTAAGCCTATTTGGTATCACATCCACACTATGCAGGTCTCTGTTCAACATACTGTGGGGCATCATGGTGGTGTACTTAAGTTGTCAAACTTGCGTTGTTTATATGTTGGTGTTAAATATATATATATGTTCGGGAATGTGTTTTTTCTCATCTGGTATACAAACTGGTAGAACAGGTAGCCTAGCCTAGCTAGTGTCTTATTTACATAAAGGAAGGAACCAATGTGTGAAGTGTTTTACTTTTCAGATGGTGGGGCTACTGTTCACCGTCCCCAACCCTTACCTCCTTCCACCATGCACCAGAGTGGTTTATCAAGTCCTGACGGCAGCACTGCCTATGGTCTGGCAACCAACCGGCACAGCTTCTCCAGCTACACTGATACCTTCATGAACTCTAGTACTCCTAGTAACCATGTCAACCCTGTCAGCAATGGGCTATCTCCACAGGCAAGTCCTGCTTTATCGCTTTATGCACGAGGATAAGCATTTACTCAGTCATGAATAAAAATATATAACATGAAAGGACTCTATTCAGTGTATATAATTTATTCTATTCATATTCATTTGAAAATGCAAGAAAAGAAGGGGATAAGTAGTTGTTAATTCAATATAAATAGGAAATAAAAAAACAAGCCATAGACCAAAATGGATTTTGACATTTAATGCCTTTGATACTTTTAACCAGGAAATTAAAGTCTTTGTCTATCTTTTACTTGATCAACTTGGAGCAGTGATACTTCATACAGCACTGTCATGATTATGAGCTGGAAATAATGCATGTGGGTTTTCACCAACAGTGTTTTAGTCACAGTAGTCTTTTTGTGTTATATATTTTTACAAGACATTCAAGTATATTGTTGCTATGGCTAGAGTAAGTTAGGCAGCTTCCCGCAACATGACCATAGGTAAATATTAATTTCCATTGTGGAAAATAAACATTTTAATTATGGTGTGGAGCCTGATTGTAGTGACACTACAAACCAGATGGCTCTATGGTAAGTTTTAAGCTTAGCATTTCTTGTCATGATCCACAGTACAACAAGTTAGTGTAGATGTTCCAAATAAAATCTTATTTTTAAATATTTCTCATTGACAAAGTCAACTGAGTGATGTGATACAAAAGGACCTGATATGCAGGCAGGCAATCAACCCCAACTGCTTGGACAAAATACACCCCAGACCCCTGTTCAAGGCATCGGTCTGCAGGATGAAAGTGAGAGAAAAGTCAGGAATGTGGAATATGGGTTCCAAAAATAGACCCCTACTTACCTGCACGAACACTGGATCTGGTGTTAGGTTTGTAGCTTGAACCCATCCGCTGGAACGTTGAAGACAATATAATTACACTGCTAAGCAAGACACAAATAGGCAAAGTTCTTCATGTTACTCGTGCACGGGAGAGAACCGGACAACCGCTTGACTCCAGTTGGTCTCGTCCGTCCTCCCGTAACACTGTCCTTTTATTGAGGTTACATGAATATGCATAGGTTCATTAACATACGACGTCTACATACAAACAAAGAGTACCTTGCCTGTGTGTGTGTGTGTGTGTGTGTGTGTGTGTGTGTGTGTGTGTGTGTGTGTGTGTGTGTGTGTGTGTGTGTTGCTGATCAAAGGGTCAAACATCCTTGGTCAGGAAGAGGGTAGCCTCCCCCTCACCCTAGATGGTTCATCCTAGATAACACGGTGAGGAAGTCCTGCAGTTCATCTAAACAAAGAGCACTTAGACTAGAACAGACGTAGCTACGTTAATCCTACCATAAAACAATAAGACACGGTATGACCTCTCATGCTCCCAAAGTGCTGTCTAATACACACAAAGTTTGCAGACTATCAAGGATCAAAACCTCTACCAATCTACAACTAATTACAAAACTCTAAGCATATATAAGTAAATATTTCTAAGCATAAATGACAATCAACAATACAAATCTAACATTTCCCCCCTTTTTGACCTTTATGCTTGAAAAGTTCCCAGGTATGAATACCTCATGTCTGACAGTTTCAATGCAAACCTTTTTATACTCAGCATATGTCAAATCACCCTAAATTACTGAAAGGTACACAGTTTAATAAATGTATTAGCAGTTACCCCATTCATTGAGCTCATCTTATGGCAAACTGCATCTTACGAGCAACCAAAGAAATTGTTAATTTAATAGTGAAACTAAAAAAGTAACATTTTCAAAAACATCTCAGCTTGGTGATGCTTCCTCCGGGTGTGCAAATCACATGTCTCTCTGCAGAGTGGTTTGAGTTCTGCAGGGCGTCATAAATGTCTCTTCTAGTTGTTTCGTTGTCCATAGGACCAGAGTCCAAATGTATGTAGAATAAACATTCAAACATACCAGTTGGTTTTGTTGTTTGTCAACATGGTTCTCAGCTATTTCCAAAGCTGCAGACCTCTCAGCACTCTAGTTTTATGGCCTCCCATTACCTCACTTCAGGCCTTCGTCCTGTGAGGGGGATATTTATGACTCCTTCATTGTCCTTCATTGTCCATACTCTGCAGAAAACACCTCTGTGGAAAGGGTGCAGGGTTGTCTTACTGCTATTATGATCCCAGCAGCCTTCAGAGTGTCATCGTATGCACAGTACAGTGGCACAGCGTTAGGTGATGTTCATAGGAAACTGCTGTTATCACCACCATAGCTTCTGGTTCCTGTGCTTTCATAGAATCATGATGTCATCCCCGAACTCCTTCTGCGCTGTCGATGGAGCTTGGCACGCTCCCCTCATCCCACGAGTTTTCATGTTCCAACGCTGCTGAAGGTTTAAGGCAGAGCACGTCGTACACCTTAGTTGTCTTCCTCAGCGTCAATATTGAATCTTTCATTTTATTTAAAATCTCCTGGAAACTCAGTAGCACAGCTCTCTGTGTGATGTCTGCTGTGCTGAAGATGATCTCTGATCCTCCTGAAGCCTCTCTCCTGGCCTCAGCTCCCATCTTGTGGACGATCCTCTCCTCTATTTTGCAGGCAGTTTCATGGTCCTTGCTGTGGCTCCAAGGTCTGATCTCATGATGGGCCCCAACCAGCTTGACCTTTGACCTCAACCACTGCCTGGCTGTCAGCTATGCCTGGAATGGTTCACGCTTCTCACTGGGCCTCTGAAGATTTCTCAGGAGATTACTGCTGCACCTGTATTTCCTTGCTAAGAAGAAAAACTTCTATTTGGAGAGCATGTCAACAATCATCAAACCACATTCTTTAGTTCAGTGAACTTCACTTATAGGCCATCAAAGCCTCATCTGAACATGGATGCACCACTTGCATAGGTTTAATATTTGTAAATAAAACGGCTAATCACACAAATCACTGCAACAATAATAGTAAACATTGTTTAATGTTAATCCTTGCACTCCACCTCTTGACGCATGGACATTCCCATGCGTCAACTCACCAAACCTGGATCCCTGTCTTAAAGAAAAAGATTAGCTAGATCATGTCCCAGGCAACATCAGGGCATCTCCTCCGGAGTAGCTCCGTAACCCTGCAATAAAAGATGTTAGCGTGTGTTGCATATTAAGTTTGCTTAACACCTGGCTCTCCCAGGAGCCTGCATACACACCATCACGACCTGGAAAGCAAAATCTGGAAGTGAAATCAAACTTCATACCTGTAAACAATTGTATCATAAGAGTAATAAGCATTCAACATCAGCAAGACAAGTGTCATGTGCAGGTTTTCTCAAATCAGTAACTACAACTATTACCCTAATTCACCTCAGACATGGATTATCCCATGTACTCTGTTAACATTAATGTAATCAGTGACTTCTCTTAAGCAAAGTCACTCCACTCATATATTATTATTATGGGTTCAAAAGTGGCCAGCAAATGAGCCCATAATAAACTATTCCATAAATACCGTAATCTCTTATTTGTTTTACCCATGTCACTTGTCCGCTTCAGCTGAATCTACTACAGCATTCTCAAAGAAACAAACATTAGCAATACACATTGACTGTGGTCAGACGGAGGTCAGACACAGGTCAACGGATTCTAGAGGTGCCATAAAACACCATAAAGTTAACACTCGCTGTGGAAACAGTAACACTGGTCTCATCACAGTATGTCTCAAACTATATTAATTTCTCCATCAACATATGCCTGTAACTACAGTTTTCTTCACACATAAACCCAGAAATCTTGTAGTAGAGAAACATTAGCCAGTATTCCTATAAATCACATGATCAAACACATGAAGAACCGTAATGCTGTAAAAACGAAAATGCCAATGTTAGCGCTTGCGCAGGCATATGCATACTTTGTCACAGTTATCTCTGTGAGCACACAAGCTAGTGAATGACACACACATAGTAAATTCACAGACACAGAAAATGGCATTTAAAATGTTAAATCATCACGCAACCTCGAGTGTTGCTGTCATCTTCCTGCTTCTGTAAAGGGAAGCACACACAGACTCATCTGCACCCCTGCCAGGCGGGGGTCAACTTCACACAGTCGTGTTACATCAGTAAAGTCTTGTCAGCTTTTGTCAGCTTTTACCAGTCAGTCAGTTTGTTTTCCTTTCACTCACTCATTCATGCATTCATTCTTTCTTTCTTTGCTGATAGTGGAACCTATCGTCGCATTTAGTTTCCACTCTCAGCAAAATGACGTCATTTCAAAAAGAAAAAGAAGAACTTTAGTTTGGATTACATCGCTGAATCCTTTTGGACTGGGACTGTCATTTAATAATTGTCCCAAATAAGTGGCTTTCTCCAGAGTCCATTTAAATGTGGAGAACTCACTTGGCACAATTTTCTCGACGACGTGTAGCGCTTTTAATTCCCGACGTGCAGATCTGCTTAAAGAACAGAGATTATCAAACAAAACTTTCAGTGCACTGTGAAAGTATCAAAATAAAAAGGCCTTGTTAAGTCATGACACAAACTCCTCATCTCAGGTAAATCATACCATTAGCATGGTTCATCATACCATCATACTAATCGGCAGGCTCAACTTCACAACAAAAGAAAAATCATCAGCTAGATTCACTCCAAATCAACCATCAGCTGCACAACACACAACATAATCCTAATGTCTTATTAGCTATGAGTTTAATTACCAGGTCTGTGCTCTTCACTCATTTAGGCCACAGATCTATTTTATTCAATTTTCCTTTTCCCTTCATCATAAAACATGTGACATGCTGTCATGCACTTCACAAAACAGTCTGTTCTGACGTATTCAGAGTTGTGTATCTAAATACAGGATTCACTCGCACATCAAAGCAGGAAACTCAGTGTTTTAGAGTCTCCACTCAACACACAACAACTCCAACACATCTCATTCACTCGTACTAGAATTCAGTCACCTTTCATTAATCTAAAACCAATCAACTAATTTGCATATCAGCTATTAACCCACTAAGTTGACAGGACGACAGAAAAGCATGTTCAAAATAGTATCACAAAAGACAATTTCCCTCATACAGTAAATTACTTATGCTGCCTCAATCAAGCAGGAAGCTTCTCCCAATTTACCATTTTAACACTAAATTTATTGTCTG